TTATAATAGTCATCTTATAATGATAGTTATTAATTATATAGTATAGGAGGGAAAGAGAGCAAATATATAAAGAGGCGTTTTATAAAATACAATTGCATGATGTTCCTCAAGTGTCTTTGCTTGGGTTCTTGTTCAGTCACAATCCAATCCTTAAATTTTGCAGATTTTATGAATTTTTCGCGAATTTTACAAAATTGAGAGTTAGAAGAATATGCGTAGAAACATAAAACTACAATGAAAGTTATTACCAAGTAGCAAGCTAACGTCATTAAACATCAAAATGACGTCATTTTGACGTTCATTTTGTCGAATGACGTCATTTTGACGTTCATTTTGATGTCGAATGACGTCATTTTGACGTTTAATGACGTCAGCTTGCTACTTGGGTAGCAATGTTTTTTTAGTCTTTTGATCGTTAAGTTAATATTATACGTATTTTAAGCTACTGGCGTAATATCCTGAGAGACAGTAGTTTTCTTGTACCAATTTTTATGATAATTTTCCATGACTGTCTTTTATATATATATATATATATATATATATAGCAAGCTAACGTCATTAAACATCAAAATGACGTCATTTTGACATATATATATATATATATATATATATATACATGTATTTATTCAATATACACACATATATATATATATATATATATATATGTGTGTGTATATATATAATATATACCCAAAAAGTGTCCCATTTTAAGATTCACACATGTTGGAAAAAAATGTTGTAAATAAAAGTTGTAGAATTTTAAGAGGAAAAGAAATTGACGCTACTTTTTCCTAAAGGACAATTTTCAAAGTCATTTGAAGGACTCTTGAATAAATACATGTTAAAGAAAAATGTTTTAAAGAAAAATGTTTTAAATAAAAATTGTAGAATTTCAAGAGAGAAAGAAGTTGGTGCTACTTTTGTCTAAAGGGCGATTTTGAAGGTCATTTTTTTTTATAGAACTACTATATTTTTTTTTATATAAATCGATTCCTTGCAATTTTTGGCATAAAAGGGTAAAATGACCAAAAAATAAATTTTTCGACAATTTTACCTCAATGCTTTTATGCATAAAATAATGAAAGAAATTGGTGTAAAAAAATATACATAGTTGTTTGTAAGAAAAAATATGTAGCTGCTAGTTGCAAATGATATACTTTTTCTTAAAAGATCGACAAAAAGTGAAATTAAGATATAAAATATCTTGTAAATTATTTAGTTTTTGGTCATCTTATTCTTATACTTGTAACTTTTTATAGTAAATATTATGAGGAATCGATTTATATAAAAATCTAAAGTGGTTCTATTTAAAAAAAATAATGATCTTTAAATGCAAATTGTCCTTAAGGAAAAAGTCAATAGTACCAATTTTTCCTCGCGAAATCATAATTTTTGTTTAAAACATTTTTCTCTAAAATGTATTGTTCAAGAGATATTTGAATAGATTTTAAAAATGAGAAGATACTCTGTATATATACATATATATGTATATATGTATGTCTTTCTTATAGTTTAAAATATACACTCGCTCTTTAGTTTCTTCAAAGCGCGTTTCTTAAATAATATTTAATTTTAAATAATTAAATTAAATAATTGAATTCTCTTCTTGATTTCTATATCGATGAATAACTAAAATTATAAAAAAATCTTATAGTAAAAAATCGTTTAATTACATTTGTTAATTACAAAATACTAAATGTACTTGCTTGAAATAATTTTCTAAATTTGATCTTGTATCTTATATCTTGGTGTCTCACACATTATATTATACAAAACTAACGAAAGCACATTACAATTCGAAACATATGTACATTTCACCTATTAATAATATTAAAAAATCTAATTTACGTATATTAAAAATAAATTTAGGAATTTAGGATGTCCTGTCTCAATGATAATATTTTCTCGTTTTCATCTTTTTTTTATAGCATTGTCCAAATCATAATAATGTTTTTCCCCTAATATTTTATCCTGGCATTTTCAAATAATTCGCGTTAAAAAATTATAATAATTGATAAATAATTGTAACTTTGCGACTAAAGAATGAACGAATAAAGTTGTCGAAAGAGATGATGCTTTCTCGTTCTACTTCCAGTTGGATGTATATTTGATAGACATGATATTTATTTTTGCCGTATATATTTCTGATACGACGAGGCATCACGTATATATGTATACATATATACTATACAGGGTGTCCCAATTTAATGTTCCACCCTTTTTTATTTTTTGATTGTAGAAGAAAATGTTTCAGACAAAAGTTGTATGATTATTTCACATTTTATGTCAAAAAATTATTAACTTCGAACCTTTATAACTCAAAAAGTACTTAATAAAAAAATACTTTATTATAGAGTTTTGGAAAGCTCTTGAAATAAACTACAAGAATATGCAATTAAAAATAGGTGGTTCCATTTAAAAAATTGAAGGTGACCTTCACGTGACCTTCAAGCAACTATTCAAGGTCAAACTAATAATACCATGTTATGTCGCTCTCGAAACCATACAACTTTTGTCTGAAACATTTTGTTTTACAATCAAAAATAAAAAATTATTTGAGGTGGGACAATAAAATGGGACAGCCTGTATAACGCATAAGTAAGTGCAATTAATAACTCTCTTAATAACTATTATTATCAGCAGGAGAGCTCGCAACACATTACACGATTATTCTATTATTCACACGCCAATAATACCATATCAAATAATACCATATCATAATTAGAGCATTTATGACGCAATAGAAAAACATTATTCATAAGGCATCGAATCGATTCGCGTGTTATCTATTTAATTTACTTCTTTTTAACATCGCAAACGGAATAGTCACGCGAGATGGATCAACGCTCTTCCAAAAGTAAAAAAAATTGATCGCGCGCGAGTAAGTTTATAAAAAATTTCATAAACTTCGACTTTTTTTATTATTGAATTCATTTATAAAAAATTCAAAAACATTATTTTTTGAGTCGAAATATTTGTTAAGGAGTTTGTCATCTATAATAAAGATGTTATAAATTATACTTAATAAAAATTGAATACTATTTTTCTCTTACTTTTAATATTTTAAAATATTTTCTTATTTTTAACAATAAAAATTATATTACAAATATGAACTTGCCAAATAAAACAAATATCAAAATTAAATTAAATAAAAGTAAACGAACATTAAAGTATAAAAATTACACATATAAGAAGCTATGTCAATAATTGTTAATGTAATTATTTTAAGATATATATATATATATATATATGTATATATATATATATATATATATATATATATATATATATATATATAATATATAAAAGTGAAATTAATTTAAAAAATAAATAATAAGGTGTAAAAGGAATAAAAAAGCTAATAAATAAAATTACTGTAATATTGTCGAGCACTTTATAAAATTGTAAAATTTATAAAAATAAGTAAAAACTAATATTGAATAATATAAAAATTATTAAACTGTTGTCACATAAATTTATAAAATAATTTTGTCAGAGTTAAGGCTTTTCTAATAAGTTTAAAAAGTTTTAAAGATTGTGAACAAACTCCTTAAAAAACGTCTCATACGAGATTAATTAACAATTTTATAAAAATCGCGCAGCTATTCCGATTATGACGATGATTATATATTTATATGTTTCACAGCTACTGTTTTTACTTCTAAAGTCGAGAATACGTACAAATACATTAAATAGTTTTTATTTTATTGCTAGTTAATTTGACTGAGATTCCAATTCTTTTTCCGTTATATAAAATGTGAAGATATTTTTTCATCAAAGTAAAGAATGACAACTATCGAAAGAAATAGATATGGCATCGCAAAAACGGGCTCAACAGTCGTCAAGTGCGTAAAATATTTACAATAATTTATGATTAATAATTAATTTTTTTTCGTTAAGAATGTGCATTATAAATTATTACATATAAATTCTTAAAAATCAGAAAATTATAATAATACACTGTTGTATTTCGTAAAGAAAATTGACTGTATTATACATATACATATACGTATACATATATACATACATATATATATTGTGTCCCATTTTAATTGTACGTCACAACCATCGCAAAAACAAGACAATATGAAAAAGAATTTGTCAAATAAAAGATTTGAAGAAAAAATGAGTATGTTGAATCTTTTAAAGATCAATTTTATTTTTTGTTATTATTTAAAATTATTATTTTTACTTAATGCCTCGATTCTACACTAAAACCTGCTGACTTTCAAGTTTTCGAATTGACGCTTTTTTGAATTCAGAAAAAATAATTTTTTTTTAAACAATCCAATGACCTTCAAGTAACCTTAAGGACCCTTAAGGGGTCGTTGGATTGTTTAAAAATTAATCTTCAAATAATTTTGAAAAATGATTTTAATTAAAATTCAAGATTATCAATTTTTCTCCTCTCAAAATTATGTAATTTTTTGACACATTTTGATTCTATGTCTTATTTTTGAGATATTTAAAGTGTTAATAATTGATTAAATTGGGACACCCTGTATGTGTGTGTATTTGTGTGTAAATAATCGTACATATCAAGTACTAATGTGTATTCGTCAAAACATATTATTATGACAATATATTATTTGTTTGAGACTCCCATATACTGCGTATTATTAAATATACGTAATTATATTGCACAAATACCGCGTGATAATTTTTCACTTTTTCAGTTCAAAGATCAAACACGAGTATTATTTTTTCCATAGCAAAATCACACAAATATCTAACTGTATTATATTAGGCTCGAATAGTTAAAATTAAATTTCAAAATTATTGGATAGCCGTATTTTGAAGACTGGCAGTACCCAAGTAGTAGCAAAATGACGTCATTAAACGTCATTTTGATGTTTAGTGACGACAATCATCAAAATGCGTTTTTTGACATTGAAAAACAGACGGAGAGAATAATAAAAGTAGGTAGTAAAAATATGTAAAAATACGAGAGCTTAACATATATACACATATATAATATAGGAATGCGCGTGCGCGCATATGTATGTATATATATCTATGTGTATATGTATATATATATGTATAATAACTAAATTGATCGTTTTTCAAGTATGTATTTCAGATACATACCATTTCATTTAGATTTCCGTACGTGTGTTAGATAAAATCTACGAATCATACGATGACGATCCATGATCGTGGGCTGGACTCGGTGGCGTCGATGGATTTGAGCTGTTGTTCGAAGCTATCGAGTGTCTAGGGCTGCCACCAGACGGATGCTCCTGTGTAAAAGAATATAAAATATATACAGGCTGTCCTATTTTAAAAATATGCTCAAATAGACCAAAAACGTCGCACAATTTTCAGATACAAAAAGAAAACAAAGTTGTATGGCTTCAAGGTGGACATAAGAGAGTAGCAAAGATTTGACCTTTAATAGTCGTCTGAAGGTCATGTAAAAGTCATTTTCAATTTCTTAAATGAAACTATTATTTTTCATTGCATATTCTTGTAGTTTATCTCGAGAGCTTTCCAAACCATTATAATAAAGTATTTTTCTCTTAAATATTTCTTGAGTTATAAGGCTCAAATTTACAATTTTTTGGATATATGTTGGGTAATGAACCTACGTTACCGACGTAGGGCCGGTGAGAGAGAGAGCGCGCTAGGTAAGAGAGAAGGAGAGTTGGTGGCGCCTCGAACGTCGTTGCCTGGCAACGAGGCGGCTAAAACGGAGAGAGCCCGCTTCCGGTTCCTTTCTTCTTGAAGCTTCCTTTTTCTCTCTCGAAGTGAGATTCTTTGCTCTGTCAGTCAGTTTTTCTGTTCGAGTCTAACTGGGGATGAAGAACTTTTCCTAGCACATAGACTAAAGTAGTACAAATTCTTAGTCAGCCGCAAGGTGTGATACATGGCAAAGCTCGTCAAAGCACGAGCCTTTCGCCTCTGGCCGTAAGATGTTAGTCCCAGTTCGACTTGCAAAACAACTGTCGCCATTACGGCAAGGACACACAGGCGTCATGCCTGCTACGCTCTAGTCTAACCGTAACAGGAACGGTCACGAGAACAAAACCCAGGTGAATCCTTTCTCTATATACATGGATATATACGGCAAATTGGATGCCAAAGAATGAAAGACGTCCTTTGGATACTAAGACAACATCTCTCTGTATAGGTATTATAGAAATACCCTCAAGGTAACAGATTAGTTTTATTCATATTATGTGAGTCTTTATCTCGAATTGCTTGGTAAGAATTGCTTCAAATCTCCTTTTACTTTGCATAATATTTAGTTTGGCTGTCTTGTTTATGTGCATAATTGCAATATTATTTCTAAAAGAGATTATAAAAGATATCCTCTTCTGTAAATACGATATCCTTTTGATTATTTGAATGATATTTGACATGATATTCATTTCTAAATTATAAAATAATAGTTTTTAGTGTATATGAGATATAATTTATGTAATATTCATTCAACGATAATGAGAATATCTTCCTCTGATACATGTGATAACTTAAAGTAACTTTTATCTTACGATTATAAGAATATCCTTATCTAATTTATGTGAAAAGTTAATATAATATTTATTTCATAATTATTTGATTATAGAAATTGACAAGCCTTACATATTTGTTCATTCACATAAAAGAATATTATTTGAAACATACTGCGCTTTCTTATATATTGCCAATATAAATATATGTGTTTTTAAAATTCGATCTTGATCATAACACAATTATCCTTGATAAAACAAGATTGAAACAGCTAGACATTATTACACGAGAAATTGTTAGATTTATTTCTTTATTATAACCTTGTATAATATCTTGCATTGGTACTATCTATACTTTGTAATTTACTAACTAATTTTCTCATTTTATTTATCCTTTAGCTACGTTTATCTTTCTGCGTATATTCAATCTCAAGTTGTATGAAAGAGCCTTTACTTTTCTTTAACTGTGTTATGGTTAAGCAATCCAATGTTTAATTTCATTATGTACTGATTATGCACATCTTTTTTAAAAACCTGTCATGTATTGATATATATTTATTGTGTGAATTGTTTGTTCATATGTGATGAAGATATGTGATACTTTTCTAAACATAAAAGAGTTTCTCAGATAACATAAATGTAAATATGATTTAACCATATAGTCATGTTCTGATAGAGTCTAAAATTTCTTTACAATAATATAGCTGTGCAATTTAATAATACTCAAAAATGAGCTTCCGTAATTTTTTATCTTTAGCTTGAAAAGTTTATAACCAATATATAAGTATGTATTCTTTAAGTTTATTTGTAAGTTTTTGCTTTACTTTCATAAGGATCAGTTACTCTTCCATTTAACTGTTTATTTACGACTATGATAAAGAAAGCATTAATTTATATGTTCATCCCTCAAACATACAATAATTAGTAACTGTATATATAATCAAAGAGATTTTCTTCTCATAATTTTTCTGCAGCTTATTCGTAATCTTAACGTTCTTTGTACTGAAACCATCAGTTCTATTGAACAATATAAAATGTAAAATATTTAGCTTTCGGTAATCTTACCTTCATACTTTTATGCAAGGAATAATAAGACCAATCAATTGATGTAAAGAAAACAAATAATTGTTAAAAGAAAAGTATGTAATTTGTAACGTACAGTTGCGTATATTTTTTTTTAAAAACAACTATGTAATTTCTTTACACCAATTGATTTGTCTAATTATTTTATGTATAAAAGTAATTAAGATAAAATTATTTCCGAAAACTGAACATTTTACAAGATATTTTACATTTTATATGAAAAAAATTGTTAACTTGAAAACTTTATAATTCAAAAAGTACTTAATGAAAAAATGTTTTATTATAGTGTTTCGAAAAAACTCGGAATAAGTTACAAGAATATGCATTGAAAAATAAGTTCAATTTAAGAAATTAAAGGTGACCTTCATATGACCTTGAAACTTGACCTGGACTATTCAAGGTCAAATCTTTGCCACCCTTTCTTATGTCTCCCCTAAAGCCATACAACTTTTGTTTAAAACATTTTTTTCAAGAAAATAAAAAAATGCTTCCTTAAAAAGTTAGTGGCCAAAAATCTCTAAAATCATGGTTATTTATTATTATAAATTTTAAAAGAATTAACAAACAAAATTCTAATTTAATATAAATGTTTTTAAAAATTAACTTTTTATTTAACTTCAGTTAATTTAATCTTAACTTAATTTTAACTGAGTTAATTTTTTGTACATACTTAACTTTTAATGTAACTAAATTAATTTTATAAGCAACTAACTTTAACTTAATTTAGTTTTAAAAAGTCATTAACTTATTCAACCCTGATAAATAATTATCTAAAAATAAACCTTTAATAAACCTTTTTTTAGCAATTACGTTTTAATAATATCTTATTTCTACGCTTTTTCTCAGAATGTTTATTAAAAAATAAATCTTAAATCGAGATTTTAATTAATTGGTATCGTTTGTATTACATACTTGTTTTTATCTTTTTATATATGTATATATCTTGTATATATAAGTTATATATAAGTACAGTCTGTCTGTCTGTCTGTCTGTTTAACCGCGAACTACTGCATTTGTGGACCAATTTTCACGAAATTGGTACTAAAATTTTGCAAATTTTCCGGGAAGTATGATGTGGTTTTTTTTTTAAGTTTTACAGCCTCCCTCACGCATCCACCCACGCAATCGCATATTTATGGACTGATTTTTTTGAAATTGGTACCAAAATGTGACAAATTTTTCGGAGATGGCGACGATGTGGTTTTTTTCAAGTTTTACACTATCGCTCACTCACCAACCCACGCATCAACACATTTATGAACCGATTTTCTCGAAATGTTATCAAAATTTTTGAAATTTATCAGGGATTGCTATTATATGATTTTTACAACCCTACCCACCCATCCACGCACGCACCCACCCACACATCCTCATTAATGGACCGATTCCCTCGAAATTGGTACCAAAATTTTGCTAATTTTTCGGGGATGACAACGATGGCGATTTTTTTAACTTTTACACCCTCACCCACGCACGTATCTACGCACTCACAAATTTATTGACCGATTTTTTCAAAATTGGTACCAAAATTTTTGAAATTTGTCGGGAATGGCTACTATATGATTTTTAAAAATTTTTACAACTACCCACCCATGTACTCCTTCATTAATGGACCGATTCCCTCAAAATTGGTAATTTTGAAAATTTTTCAAATGGATGGGATGATGATGGCAATTTTTTAAAGTTTTACACCCCCATCCACATATCCATCTACGCACTCACAAATTTATTGACCGATTTTCTCAAATCGGTACCAAAATTTTCAAAATTTTTAGACGATGACTATTATATAATAGTAGTATATATGTATTTCATGTTCCCCTTGGGATTACGATTCACATACAATTCTTAATGTACAAAAACCAAAAATTTACATAAACAACACATACGCAATATAGAACTTTACAATATATTCTTAACCTAACAATTCTAACTTATTCTAACTTGAGCCTAATTATTCTAGGGCTTGGGCTTCCGCTTTAGGTCGCCCGTTGACCAGGCCATCTCCCCTTGGCTTCTGCCCAACCCCATACACACACACATACGCTTTTGGGACTTCCGTTTCTTTTGCCTTTTCTTTTAACTCTTCTCTCCTTTTGCCCCCCCCCCCCCCCCTCGCGTCAATCACTCCTCCAATCATCCTTCTTTCCATCTTAATCTCACCATATGCTCTCTCTCCTTCTTCTCTTTCTTATCTCTCTCTCTCTCTATCTCCCTCATCCACCCTTTTCCTTCTCCCTTTTCTCCTAATATCTCCCTCACAACTTCCTGCCAGCTCTCTTTCCTCTCTCCCCTCAACCCACACCTCTTTCACACATGCTCCCACGACTCTTCCTCTTCTCTACAGATCCTACATTTCCTCTTCTCCACCTCCTCCCAGTACCTGCTTTCTAATATCTCACTTCTTAATCTAAATCTCGCTACTCTCCTCCATCTGCTTTCCCCCCCAGTCCTTTCTTAAATATTCTGGTATTCCTTTCCCTCTAACATTCTTGTACCATCTGTTAAATTCTGACCTTTCTATTTTTTTCCTCTCTTTCCCTCCTCTGTTCCTCCAAATCCTCCTTATTAACTTCCCAAACCATCCCTCTTCCTCTTCTCTCTTCTCTTCCACCTCTTCTATCCTCCTATCTCTTTTCCTAAAGTACTCTTCCCTTTCCCATCTGATCACACCTTTCTTTCTTTCGCCCTTTCTCTCATTTCCT